TCAGCCTCCACTGCATCGCTTCCTCATGCGTGCCATTTGTCTACTACTCTGACACTGAAATACTTCTTTTTAACGTCCGACTCATTTGGGCACTCACTTTCCACCTGTGTCCTCTAGTGCGTGTGCCCCTTGTGTTAACTAGTGTCTTTATCTACCCTATTGATTCCTCTGAGAATCTTGTATGTTGTGATCATTTTCCCTCTCCCTCTTCTGTCTCCCAGTGATGTGGGGTTTACTTCCCGTAGTCTCTCCTTGTAGCTCTTACCCCTTGGTTTGGGTACTAGTCTGGTGGCAATCCTTTGCGCTTTTTCCAGTATGGTCTTGCTGTGATGGGAGATGACCAGCAGCTGTGTGTGTTGTTGGTCGTGTCCCTTTCGTTCCCGTTTGCTGCCTGCCTTCTTCGTTTCTCATCCTCCTATACTTTTGTCCCTAGCCGCTGGTGCTGGGGCTGTTCTTCTGGTCTTTTTCTTGTGGTTTTTCCGTTTTTCTGATTTTCTCTTGCACATTGAGTGTTTTGTATGTGCCTTTTGGCTTTTCTATTGCCCGGTTTGGGTTCCTGGTTTCCTGGCTTACCCTGCCAGTTGGCATTTTCGAGGTTTCGTGGTGTCCCTTCTCTTGAGTCTCGTGTTGGATCCATAGAGTCTCCGATTCCTGGCGAGCTTGCTGGCATTGGGGAGTTTTTCTGTATGGTAGACGTTCCATCTCCTTCCTTGCCGGCCTGGGTTTCCGACTCTGCTTGCTCGGTGATCACACCCGAGATCTTCCCGCAACTCTGCCTCTTCCTAGGCTCGATCAGTCCATGGTGGGGCTGGTTCGGTTCTGCCTCGAGTCTTTCACCATCTGTTGGTGATCAGGTGGCTTCGTTGTTGGTGTCCCACCTGCGTGCTTCTTCTTGGCGGCGGTGTGAGGTTTTTTGGCGGTCCTTCCTTTTTCTTTCTGTCCCTTCTCAGGTTTGCTGCGTTTTGTTGGCGCGGTCTTGTCCTTCTCTTGTGCAGGTTCGGGGCTGTCATCTTGCCACATACCATCGCTTTGTCTTGTGCAGCGCTGGTGGAACCGCTCCTGGTTGCTTCGGTTTTGAAGTTGCTTCTGCAACGCTTCGCAAGTCGTCTCTGGCGTAGTTCACCTCTAGCCTGCTCTTGCGCCGCTTGACCCATCCTGGTTCTTGGATTGCATGCTCTTTTTCTCTTCTCCTCGGTTTGTTGTGGCCCCTTTGGTTCCGAGTTGTTTTCCGAGGCTCTCTTTGTTGACGTTGGCCTCTGGGGGTCGGGTCGAAGAGCTTCATACCCTCCCCCGGCGCCTGCGTCTCAGCTCTTTTGGTTCTCCTGCTGTTTTGTGCGCTTGCAGCCATCTTCTACTTTTCTGGCGAATACTGGCTTTGCTGTTTTCCGGAGGAGTCCTTGGGTTGTTTGATACTGGGTTGGTTTGGCCGGGGGTGCATCGTGTGTTGTGTTCGGTTGCGGCGCTTCGCCATGCTTGGCATGCCACGGCTGCTGTGGACGGGGTCACACTTTGGGTTGTTCCGGGTTCCCCTCTTCCCTGTTCCAGGGTGTGGGTTCTCTCGGGTCGTTCGCTGGGTGGTTCGGTCCTGCCAGCCTGTTGTCTGTCCCTGTGCCCCAGTCGTTCGTTAGTTGGCTCTGCGTTCCTTTGTTGATGTTCCAAGGCCTTGTCGGGCCTGTGTACCTTGGGTTGGTGTTTGCAGTTTTATCTCCGATACACGTTAGGGTGTGTGCAATTTCCACCTCCCGGGTTCGGTCCCTCTTGTTTGCGTCTTTGTGTAGGTAGCTCCGGGGAGGCGACGGGGCTCCCCCCAGAAAATCAGCGTTGAATGTAATGAAACGCCATTTTCTGGGTGAGACCCGGGGGCTCCCGGCAACTCTCCCTCCCCCCAGTTGGCATATTTTTCATGTGTTTTGATGTCCAGCCTCAGAACTGAGAAGTGGATTGCCGGCGAGGGGGTCTTGGTGCCCCCCATCCCCCTCCCGGGGAGGGGGGAACTGCACAGACAGCGGCGACATGTGACGTCATACTCGTTTATTCGTTTCTGTTTGGGGAGTTCTATCCCCTTGTTCGGCTTTTTGTAGCAATTTTCACCAGAATAGGGGATTGTTTTGGGACGCTTACCTTTCTGGGTGCCTGACCCGGTCGATGGGAGACATAAAATGCTTCCAACCACACGGGGGTTTCTATAGGCCATTGCTCCTTGTGCCTCTTCTGAGGGGCCGAGGTTCTGGCTCGTGGTCCCCGGTAGGCCCACAGAACTCCATACACACGACTGATGCCAAAGTTTGACATTAGCATATCAGCCCAGATAGCTCCGGAGAGCCTCTGGGTCTCGCCCAGAAAATGGCTTTTCATTAAATTCAACCCTGGTTTTTTTACCTTGACTACATTAGCTACAATTCTTTCTAGTGTTTCTGGTCATCTGTTATCACTCCTCCTGTGACACCAGTCTGATTTTGGGTTGCAGACCTGGAGCCTCTTGTTGAGTTCTCTATAACTTTTTTTTTTATTCACATACACGGGTGTTACAGGAACAGATGACTTCTGACTCCTGTTAGCAGGCTGAGAGCTCTCTATTCTCATAACTCATAGTAAGCTTTACCCATTAGTTTTCATTGGTACATGACCCGCCAATTGGTTGACAACCAGGTTCCCAATTACTGTTGGGTGAATAGAGCTGAACAATTAAGGATTGGCACTTAGTCAGTCTTCCTTGTCCAGGATATGAACCTAAACCGATTTGCTCAAAGTTTAAGTTGGCTCTGTTTTTGCTGCAATGTCATTCTGAAACTGCTGCTCTGCTGTCCTCAAGATTCTTGTGTACTTGTTTCTGGTTTTCTTTAATGCCTTACTATTTGCTTCTGTACCCAGGTCCCTATACAAGTGTACTTGCATTTTTAGCTTTATCGTTTACTCCTTACACTGTTGAACTATGGGTTTGCTGTTCTTGTTTTATCCACTTCCCTCCTGACTTATGAGCTGTTCCATTGCTTCTATGCATTTGTGTTACTGGCTCCTAGTGGTAAATCATATTTTAAGCTCTCTACATCTTCATTTTGGGTAAACACTGGGTTTAGGGTAGCTGGTACATTGGTTTTTCTCTTGTTGTCTCGTTGATATGCTGCCACAGGAAGTGTTGGTGTTGTGTCAACACATCTAGCTCTGTTTCATGTCCCTCGTGAGAATCCTTTGTTGATCAGTCTGTTTCCCTTTGGTTAAAAAATACCCATGTATTATGATCTTTGCTTTGGCTCTCCTTGCTACTGTGGCTGCTTTTTCAATTACCTCCAGGCATGTTTCATTGCATTGATCATATTCTTCCCTTGACCTTCCTGTAGTTAATGGAGGATTGTATATAAGACGTACCACTGTCTTCATAGTCCTCACTGATGCCATACCTAGTATGAAATGCTGCTGGTTAATTACCTCTGGAATCATTCTCTCCTTAGAGCACCAATGTTGTATCAATAGGGTTACTCCTTTTCTTCTCCCCACCCCCTCTATTTATCCTGTCTTTCTGTATTATCTGGTATCCTCTTGGGAATATTACATCTCTATTATGTACATCAATTTTGTCTTTAATTGTAATATGAAGATGCAGTTCTTCAACCTGTTCTTGCTGCTCCTTCAACAATATACTGCTGTTTTTTACAAGGCTGCTTAGTTCTTTTCCTGGGGGGAGATAGATTTTCTTATTGGGCTAATCCCATTCTGGAGAGTGGGAATTGAGAGTGTTGATCTAGTCACACACACTCCTTTTGTTGGTATTTTTTCTCAGCATTGTGATTAGGCCCACTTTCTTGCTGTGTCCGATTATCCTTCTGCCTTGACCCCATTATTCCGCCAGTCTCAACTTTTGTAATCTTTTTCCATTTCTCTAGTTGCATCTTTTACATTTATCTTAACTCTGCGACTTACTTAAGCACTTTAACATTTGCTTACCTGCCTTGGTTCTCTAATTTCAAGTTATCTCCTTCATTCCTAATTTCTGTTAATAGGTTATTGCTCCTACTCATTTCCTCTTTCAGTTCCACATTCTGTGACAGAAAGCTTGTCAGGCTTTATTCAGCACCCCCCTCCCCTAGTCAAGGATGAGGCAGCTCCTGTAATCATCCATCTAGTTGCTGGCCGAACCCAACTGTGCAATACCTGATTGACCAAATGATGTACCCATCATTTGGGTACATCTGTACACTGTCGTGTTAATGGCACAGAAATTGTATGAGAGAAACAAACACTGGCAATTAAGGCAGTTCACTTAGCTCAGCACGGTGTATGGGAAAAATCAAACCACTTTGAAATGATTTGCATACATCATATACATCTTTACATGATGTAAATAAAAGTCTTAATAAAAGATTTTGTGAGCACTATCATGTACTGGTGTATATGTTTAAAATAGAAAGTATTTATTATTATTAATCTATATATACTTTCCTCAACACTAAACCATTTCAGTTTATTAGAAAAGATGAAGCTTTATAGTAAGATACATAAATTAAAAATGAAGTTTGATTGCACATGACCTTTAAGATTATATTTTCTTAAGTACCATTTTGAATAGCTTCGTGTGTATTCATATTATAATAGAGTTGAGGGAGTTGTAGTGTAGTGGTGCAGTATGGGTAATGTTGCACTCAGATGATCGGTATATTATGGCTTGTATAAACCATTGTTATGGCAAGTAATATCTCATTTATTCTGGATTAACAATTGGCCAAAACTATAAATGATCTTTTAATCATATTAGTTCTTGTTTTTTTACAGTATTTTCAAACTGTTGTCTTTAGAAGCCTTGGCTTGCAAATTTGATACCAGGTTTACTGTAGTTCTTAATGAAAATGTTCATAGTTTAGGATATTGTATCATGGAGAGAATGTAGTTAGTACAGTATTTTATGGTGCTCAATAAATAATGCATCAAGAGCATTGTTAAATTCTTAGGCTGACTAGCTTCTGTTTAGTGATTATCATTAAAGTGTGAATTTTTTTGGTGTACAGCTGCTCTGAGAAAACTGAGAACACGAACCCTGGCTGTTTTGCTGTCTCGCTCGCTTGCAGATAAAAAACTGATGGGCTGGGCCAGGAAGAGACCCCCGTGTTTCTCCTGTGAAGAGGCTCCTAGGCCTCAACCCAGCAGAGGTAGCTCATTTCCCT